TTTTGGGCCCTGGCTCCAGGGCTACGAGGAGTCAGTTCAGTTAACGGCTTCGGCGGATTTTATTTCTCTTCAATTCGGAAAGTATCGGATCGTAAATATAATTATTTTATATTATTATTTATCAAAGACGATTAGATAAAATAAATATGAGTTCACGTTCTAGTGCGCGGGGAGTAATAACTAAAAGAGAGAATAATAACTAACCAGTGCTCAAAAAAAAAAAAGTTGTAAGATTTGAGAGGAAACTTCTCTGTCCGATAACCGGAGCGATCTGGGATCATAGTACTAACACATGGAGAAGAAAGACCAATAAAGAACTGCTTACAGAAACTGGTGAATCAATATCCTATGATATGGAAGGTACGGAGGTTAAGAAGTCTCTATGTAACCATGAATGCCTCGATAGAAGGTAAAAGACCAGGTGGAAGACGAAAAAGTAAATGGATAAATAGAATTTACAAAAATGCAACAGAGCTGCGTGCAGATAAATGGAAAGAAATAGCCTAAGACAGGAAGAGATGGAGCAGGCTTGTTAAGGTGGCAAAAGATCAAGATGGTCTCTACTGCCAACAAAAAAACAACAACTAGTTTTGTTGTAATATAAAACGACGTGGCGTCCAACTTTAATTTATTTTTTATTTTTTTAATAAATATTATTTTAATGATGTAGAGATGGTTGACCGTTGATATAATATGAGAAGGAGTTAATCGGAGGTGCGGTCAGATAAATAATAAATTAAAATATAGTAATTATTTTATTTTAATTTTGCCGACGTTTCGACCCATTTTGCATTTATCTGACCGCACCCCCGGCTAACTCCTTCTCATATTATATCAACAGTCAACCATCTCTACATCATTATGAATACATTACCACGGGGCAATAACTAGATACAAACCAGTTTTGTATCTTTTGTAGCCCTGAAGACGATCTCCAAAGTGGGTCGAAACGTCGGCAAAATTAAAATAAAATAATTACTATATTTTAATTTAGTATTTATCTGACCGCACCCCCAACTAACTCCTTCTCATATTATATCAACGGTTAACCATCTCTACATCATTATGAATACATTACCACGGGGTTAACAACAAGATACAAACCAGTTTTGTATCTTTTTTAGCCCTGACGACCTCCAAAGTGAGTCGAAACGTCGGCAAAATTAAAATAAAATAATTAGTATATTTTAATTTAGTATTTATCTGACCGCACCCCCGACTAACTCCTTCTCAAACATTATTTTAATTTTTTTTTTTTTTATCATGCTCCATTCTCTTCTGTACTGAGCTGGAAACAAATAGATCGATAGGTAGTGAAGATCGGAATCTCTAATGTGTTTAAATTTTTAAAGTTTATCAATCATTAAGTAGATGCTAGAAAGAGTAAAAAAAATATCAGCCCATTACAATGATAATGAAATGATAATTTCATAATAATTTCCTTGCTCACAGTATGCAGGCCTAATTTTTTGTTTCTGAGATATTTTAACCCATATCTTCAACAAACACGGTTGGTTTTGGGCACTATCTTTCCCCTCTACTACTCTCTAACAGAGTGTTGGGTTAAGATACTATTTTGAATAATAGCTCATCACAAAGAAAATGAAATGATGAAAATTTCCCTTGCTTATTGTATACAGGTCCGATTTTTAGTCTGAAATATTTTAATCCATGTTCAACTAAACTCGTTATCATTTTGTTTTCAACTCTATTTTTCCTTTTCGCCTCCCTAGCACGTCTTCGGGTTAAGATACAATTTTGTAATAATTATACCTTATTATTTAGAGGATGAAATGCTGAACAATTTACTAATTTACTACAATGCTTACAGTATGTAGGCCCGATTTTTAGTAACTAATTATTCCGTTCTGTTCAAATTAATGATATTAAGCCTAATTTATAAAGTATTTAGGGCACTACCCATTGATTGGATCCCATTCTTCAATAAAATTCAAATATAATTAAAATAATTAGTTAACACACCAATTGTTGCAATGGCAAAGAAGTAATGAAACGATACGTTACTCACGCACGACTGTAGTGAGATATTGTTTGTAACTAGCTGGTGTTAGCTCGCAACTGCAAATATGAACAAACTAGCAAATATTTGTCTCATTATAACCTTATTTTACTGATGAATAACATTATTCAGCTGTTAATAAGACGTCTGTTGATGGCTTAATCTATTTGAGGTCTGACGAGGATATAACAACGGGATGGCAAATAAACATAATAATAACCAAAACATGTTTTTGAACTGCGAAAAATACTATCGCAATATGATATAATAATAAAAATAAGGCTTAGCGAGCTCGAAGGTTCTCCGAAACTACTGTACCGATTTTTTTTCCAAATTTGGATTTAAAGTCAGAGTTCACCGAAGGATGATCCTCCTACATCGGCATTACTATCCGCCTTTTCCTTATAAAATGGCGGCCGAAAAACACGTGTTGCTATAGACTGTAAACGAATGTACCGATTTCAATGAAACGTGGCTAAATTTCTTCTTCTCGATGCCCTTTAAATTTATCTATATAACATTCTTCAACGAAAAGAAGCTGGAAAAAGCTTACGAAGGGTAGTAAAATTAGAGTCCGAATAACTCAAAAAGTATTCACTTTTTGTCGATATTGTGTCGTACATGGTTATTTAAAAACCATCGAAATATCTTTAAAAAAAAAAAATCGTTAAACTCGGACAATTTGGAGCAAAAATAAGATGAACAATGATGAAAAGTAAGTTGTTTAGGCGAATAATAGGAATCATCTTTTATTTTTTTTTTTTTTTTTACTTTAGATGTTTGAAAATAATAAACCATTGTGAAATAATTTGCAGTTTTTTTTTTTAATTCAGTGAACTTAAAGTAAAAACGAATTTATTGCTCCCGAAGTCTTGTGGAGATCTGCGAAAACACTTAATAGACTTTCCATTGCACCAGTCTTCGCCATATTAAAGCGTTGATAATAAAAATAATTTAATCAATGATTTAGTTGATAATGGTAGGTGATAATTAGATTAAGTTGTTGAGTTGGTAGTGGATGATAGTTTTTGGTTTTTACATAGAACGTTATTTAGCCATCGTATTCAACTCAGAAATTAGCTTAGAAATTAATTAATATTGTTAATCAATATGGCAGTGAAACACCTGTTCAATCATTACCACTTCCTCCCCCCTTGATCACACACTGCCTCACCTATATAAATCCGCTACGGCGCCGACAGATCCAGACCGCCAGCCGTCGTTGACAGTCTCTGAACAGCAACGATGACGTTCGCCACCGCACTCCTCGCCTTGATAGGCTTCGTCGCCGCCTCCAGTGCCGCTCCACAGTTCATGTTCCCTCCCAGATGGCACATGCCACCTCCACCACCACCACCGTTCCATCATCCTAAACCATGTTTCCATCCCATGCCATCAGTGGTACATGTACCTGTACCTGTGCAAGCACCCTCAACCGCTGCTCCTCCTCAACAATTGCCTACTCTTGCGGAATTGCAGAACATGTTGAACTCAATGATATCATCCATATCAAAACTAGCAACTACAATACAGGCTCCAAGTACGACGACTGCAGCTCCTTCAACGACACAAGCAGCTCCTACAACGACACAAGCAGCACCTTCTAATGCTCTATTGCAGAGCTTGTTGAATGCTTTGAGAGAGTCATTAACAACGACAACACCACGGGCTGCAGTGCCGACAACCACGCAGGCTCCGGTCACAACTGCTGCTCCTGCGCCTACACAAGCAATACCTTCCATTGCCGATCTGCAAAATTTGTTAAATGCATTGACAGGCGCAACAACAACACAAGCTCCAGTTACAGTCTCAACAACCACGCAGGCTCCAACTGCTGCACCTGCTCCTGCAGTACCTTCTATTGCTGATCTGCAGAATTTGATAAATGCATTGACGGCTTCAGCAACTGCTGCGCCAACGGCTGCACCAGCCGCTGCACCTGCTGCTGCACCTGCTGCTGCACCTGCTGCTGCACCTGCTGCTGCACCTGCTGCTGCACCTGCTGCTGCACCTGCTGCTGCACCTGCTGCTGCACCTGCTGCTGCACCTGCTGCTGCACCTGCTGCTGCACCAGCCGCTGCACCTGCTGCTGCACCAGCCGCTGCACCTTCTATTGCTGAAATCCAAAGTTTATTGGACGCAGTGGCAGCCGCAGCAGCAGCTAATCCAGTGGCAGCAGCGCCAGAGGCTCCAGCTGTGCCAGCTGCTGCTCCAGCTGCTGCTCCAGCTGCAAATCCATAAGAACTTTCAACTCCTGCGAAACAGTCATATTGGCGGAATTATATAACTTATGTTGTAAAAGAAAAACGATTAAATAAGATTCGTGGAATGCAGATGTTTAGAATTTATAATTTTTTAGTTAATCTTTAAGAAATAAGGTTCTACAAAATGAAATCAAGAAGTAAGTGTTGAAGCACCTATTTTTTCACTGTGTGAATACAAAATTAGATTCAACCTAGAAATATTACTTTATATTTGTTTTACAAATAATACGCTAATTCTGTTGTGTGACATTCCTTGATTAATATACACATTATTATTATAGGATTGTGTTTTTTCTGTTGTATATAACATCTTTTTCATTTTAAACTTCTTCTTAGTCCTTCTTCTTTAATAAATAAATATCGCTATAGACATACAAAAATCTTGATAGGCTCAGAAAAAGTTTGTCATAGAAAGCTAAAATAGGTATCTTAAAGTGGTTTAATGGAATACAAATTTTATTCCTTTTAAGATTAAGATTGCTCACCTCATCAAGCGTCTTCTGTCGCAGGATATTATTGGATTACTCTGGATTCCAAATTACCAATCTCGTAACAGATCTTCCACTGCAACCCTTGCAGGAGTGCTTCTAGCTCCTGACTTTCTAGATTTACCTCCAAATATCCTTTAGAAGACGAGAACCAAAAGACTGTATCTGTACTGCCTATAGTCCGGAAGGTCTTAGCTGTACTCAGTTGAGCTAGTCTTTGAATGGTGGCTATCTTCGTTTCAAACTGGTGGTGTAAGTGCCAACTCCGTGCTGATCCTGCATTCCTTGGCTCTTGCACTGTTGATTTTCGTGGACACCTGGGACCCCAGAACGCTGACTATTCTTGCGGGACCATTCATCGACAAGTTCACCCTTTCTCGGAGGCCACGCGTTATGTTTTGTGTTACGAAACTTCACCTTAAAACTAACCTATCTCTCATCCTACTTTGAAGCTGAAAGTAGGAGTTGTGTCCTCGAAGGCCTTCAGAAGAATGGCCTTGATATCCTTGTCGCCATCTTGAGTTTCTTCTTAGCGCACCATCCTTTGACTTTGACCTTGGTGACAGATCTCTCTCATCCTACCACTTCGCTGTCTATTCTGATTGTCGCATCGTAGAGGTCTATAGGGCCGAAGCCCGTTGTCCATAGCTCTCTCAATAACAGATCAGTGATGAGAGAGTACAAGCTATTGAGGACTCATACTGTTTCTTCGAATCTTCACTATCTCTTCAACATCCCTGTGTACTCTCTCACCCGCGCGTTTCCGCTATCTTTTCCCTTCGTCAAACCAAACTACCCCGAACCGAATTTTTTTATAAAATATTTTTGTAAAAAGATGTGACAAATTTTTGATTTTGATTTAACCGCCTAAATTCTTCTGTTGATTCATCCTTCTTTGGACCGAATATTCAGCGCAATACTCTTTTTTTGAAAACCTTAATACGTTGTTCATCCCTTAATGTAAGTGACTAAGTTTCGGATATTAGACGTTTTGGACAAACTGACATTTATACTTTTATTTTCAGTTTCCAATTTTTTTTTTATTGATTTCATTAAAGATTGTCAATAGCAACTAAAAAAAAAAAAGAAAATCAGTTGAAACCTGACCCGAAACCTAAAAATTAGAATTTACAAGACCATTGTCCTCCCTACGGTTCTGTGTGGATGCGAAACTTAGTCACTTACATTAAGGGATGAACAACGTCTTAAGGTTTTCAAAAATAGAGTATTGCGCTGAATATTCGGTTCAAAGAAGGATGAATCAACAGAAGAATTTAGGCGGTTACACAACGCTCAATTGCGTGAACTGTACCCGGTTAATATAATTAAAATGATTAAGTTGAGGCGAATAAAATGGGCATGCGAATTCGCAGAGATTAGTAACGAAAGAATTCCTAAAAAGGTAATATGCGCTGTGCAGACTGGTAAGCTTCCGAGGAGTAAACTGAAGCGAATGTGGAAAGATTGCGTTAATGCTGATCTTGAAGATTTGGGTTTAGAAGGCAACCGGTCGATGAAAGAATGCAGACATCGATTGGTGGTATCGGCATCGAACCTTCGGGTTCGCTAAGCCTAATCATTACTATTATTATGTATGTTTTTAAAAATAAACAAACTAAATTATAAATAACCATTTACAATCAGCATAATAATAATCCACTTGTTCGATTCCTAGCTCTTTCACAATACTTAATAACACTTAAGTAGATTGGTATATAAACCGCGGTGGCTCTTAAATTTTTAACTGCCGGCAGTAAACCGCCGAACTGCTCATAATGAGAGATTTCGTTGCCGCCTCCAACGTCGCCACACTATTCCCGTTCCTCCCGAAGTGACCTATGCTCTCACCACCACCTCCTTTTTACGGTCCGAGACTATGTGACAAGTTGTGTGTATGCCAACCACCAACCACCACAAAAAAACCTGTTCAGCAATCGCCTCCTCTTGGGGAGTTGAAGCACTTGTTGTATTCATTGTTGTCAACCATGAAAGAATGAAGTTCCATGAAAGCTCCAACAACGACACACGAACAACTATCTCATGCAGTTTTTTTCAGATCTATGTTGAACGCATTAGCAGGATCACTAACAAATTCTAAAAAGCCCCGAGATACTCCCATGTCTCTCACCACTACACTGAGCTAAAGTGGCTCTTTCCCTCCTTTCGAAGACAATATTTCCTATGTACGTTCCTTTGTCAAAACAACAATCATCGTCCTTCTTACGCCTATAACCTTCTCAAATTCAACTCCTCAGTCCATTCCCTTTCTACAAGATCTCGCCTTCCTTCACCCCTTCACCCCCTTCACCCCTTCTCACAGATCTGCCTCATTTCAAAAATCCTTTATTGCTCGCTCTGCCAATTTCTGGAATTCCCTACATATCAAAATTCGACATTCCCCCTCCATATCCACATTCAAAACCCTCCTATTCCAATTCCTATCTGAAAAACAGTTAGATGTTTGCTAACTTTATTTATATCATATCATTCATCATCAAATGATAGTACTATCCCTTACTTTAAACTTCAGTAAAGGTATATCTATATATATCTTCCTACTCTTAATGGCACTGAAAGCACCTATTGCTTGTTTTTACTATTATTTTTTTTATTATAATACAACTAAATCTGTACCTAATTACAATAAGATAATGATATGTTTAAATATTATTGATTATTTCAATACTCTGACATTTTATATTCAGATTCGACTTTCCTTTGTTAAAAGAAACACAGAGCTTATTTTATAGAAGGATTCAATATATTTTTTATTTATTTTTCTTAAAAGTGTATATCTAATTATAATTTTTCCTACTGTGCATAGTGACTTGTTATGACGCTATGGTGTAAAGTGTTTTGTATATAGGTTTATTTTTTTGTAATAGCTTGTTCAACTAATATTTTCTTTCATACTTTTTTTTTTTTAACAATATCATTCTACTTCATCTATTGTATAATTATTTACCTTTCTTTTTTTGATGTGGCACCATTTGTCAAAAATCAAAACTTAGTCACATCTTTTTACAAAAATATTTTATAAAAAAATATTCAAAAAAAAAATATCTTAAAAAATGTGACAAATATTTGATTTTTGACAAATGGTGCCACATCAAAAAAAGAAAGGTAAATAATTGTACAATAGATGAAGTAGAATGATATCGTTAAATAAAAGTTAATATAAAATGTGCATAATTTCAGTGAAGATAAAGATTGCTCTGACGATGGGAAAATTGTCCCGAAACGTTAGAGATAATGTAATTAAAAGAATTTGAATAAAATTGTAAGTATTACTGCCTTAAATATGAAAAAAAACTATAAACGTATGCTTCCTAATAAAAAAAGAAAAATAAGAAGATAACTAATATTTTCTTTACTTTTTCTTTTTTTATTATTGTTTTATTTGGGCCTTCTTCGATGTCTTTTAATTTTGTACTATTTTGTTATTCTAAAGGGACGTTGTCCCAGAATAAAGTTATTTTCTATTTCTATGTTTTCCTCATATTGTCGGCACTATGTTAAAGTAATGAATGTGTATCGACCTAATATAAACTTTCGATTATAATATACCGTTAGGTTTGAGCAAAAATTACCTGCTATAAATATAAGAAAAGATGGTTTTCATTCCTTCTCCTATAATCTCACATCAGATGCGATAATTATGTTAAAAACCGCTAGGCATGAAGAGAAAACGATATTAGTTTTTCACCAATACAGTCTAACTTCCAAAACTTAACTTTTGCTTTTCATACCTTCATCACAAATAAATTTGCTATAAAATATATATCTCACTTAACCGGCTCTTCGGATTAACCGGTGGTAAAAGATATAAACGAAGATTAAATAATTTTTTTCTCTCAGAATCGGCTAGTTTCAGCTAACTAAATTATTGAAACAAATTAGATAATTGTTTTATTATAACCGATCTTGACTTGGGAACTTTCAACAGATTTTACTGAAATTAATTTTCCAACATTTATAAATGAATTGGCCATCATTTTCCGAAAAGGCTCACAATACAAATAGATCTTTTGTGAGAAAAATAAAATAAAACCAATTTGAGGATTAGCTATAAAAAAATGTATTTCAAACGTAGAAATAGTTTTAAAAATATAGGTATACAAGATGTAAAGAGAGTATAAGCATCGTTAAGAATGTATTTAAATAAAAATACTTATTCAAACAGATTAAGTAAAGAATATTTCTGGTTCGTCAAGCTGAAAATAAATTTTGAATGCATTCATTTAAAGAAAGGTTGAAATAATTCAAGAAAATGGAAGAAAGGTTACACATGATGGAAAGGGTATACAGCATCATTAAAAATTTATTTAAATGTAAGTGCCTAGCTTTGTCAACTATATATAATTTAGGTATACTGAAATCAGAGAAATAGAACCCGTAAATCCAATGAACACAATTGAACAGTGAATATTAAGAATAAAAAAAATATTACACGACGTGAAAATATTAAAATATAACTTGAAGGAGGGTTAAAAGCTGATGTTTTTGTAGATATTTCTATGATGAATGACAAGATATTTAATGAAACTTTGTCACTAGTATTTCCCGCCATTGCCGTCGATTAGAATACAGATAAAGAGCAATTTTATAGTTTTATCAATACTTTAAGAAATAAATAGCTGACCTGGTTGGGGGATGATAGGGGTAAGTAATAAAGAAAAACCAGGAATATTACAATATCTAAAATTTGGAGATATTGCTGGATACAAGAAAAATACAATATCTATGAACTAATTATATATATATATATATATATATATATATATATATATATATATATATATATATATATATATATATATATATATTTATATATATAAGATAGAATTTTATTATTAATAGAAGATTATAACTTCAAAACAAATTTTTATTTTTATAAAGTTTCGGAACTTTTAGTTTCGATAGTATATAAGTTTATTTAGAACTACAACTTTTTCTCTTGCGACTTTTCCAGTGAAGGTTTTACAGCGAAATCGACAGAACTTCGAAATCGGAAGTTGTGTCGATTTCGCTAAAAAGTCGATCTAAAAAATATTTTTAATCTCAGCTACTCAAACGAATATAAGAATCATGTAATTAATTTCAGACAAATTATAACTGTAATCTAATCCCAATTACTGTCTATTTCTCATTCAACGAAACATTTTTTTTTATAGTTAAATAAATAAAAGTTACACTTTTACCGTAAATTTAAAACTTTAATAAAAAAAAGTTCCATAGAACTTTTATTGTAAAAACTTTTTTTCTAAAAAGTTTCACAGGAACCATTAAAAGGGAACTTATTAAAAGGATTCTACCATTGGGTGAGTAAGATAATAGCAAACAGAAAAATAGCGACAAGATGCTGTGCAGAGTGTTGCGTCTTTGTACCCATAGTAACCTCGAATATAGAGGTGCCAGTTCGAATCCTGTCCAGGCGGGGTAAAATTAATTTTGTGGAAACTTCTGGGAAATTCCGGGGGAAAAAAAATAGAAAACAGAGGCGTTTTAGTAACATTTTATTATATGTTCAGTACATAATCAAATGAAGTTGATCGCGTGGGCCATTGCTGGAACCTGAATTTATCCCAATGCATTCAAAAAAGCCTGTATTTGATCATCGGTGGGTGTTCCAGCTGATGCAGCAGTTGTAGGAGCTACTGTAACTGGAGGTTGTGTTGTGACTGCTGGAGCCTGGGTAGTGACTGCTGGAGCCTGGGTAGTGACTGCTGGAAGTGATATTCCCAATGCGTTCAATAGAGCTTGTAATTCAGCAAGAGACGGTGTTCCAGCAGTTGGAGCCTGAGTGGTAGAAGTCACTGCCACTGGAGCAGCAGTCGTCGAACCTGCTCCGAGTGCGCTCAGCAAGCTCTGGAGCTTCGAAAGACAAGGCAGTTGGTTAGGTGCGGCCGCTGTTGGAGCTGGGGCGGGGAATTGATGATGATGAGGGCATGGAGCTGGAGCTGGAGGCAGTACTGGTAAAGGTAAATGAAATAGAGGAGCCCCCCACGGATGCGGCTGCCACCTGCTCGGTGGATATGGGCAGCCGGCTTCGGATAAGCCTACGACGGCGAGGAGAGCGAGGGCGAACTTCATGGTGGCGGTTGGCGGCAGTAGGCGGCTGCTATCGACTGCTGAAGTGTGCTCTGGACTGCAGTGCGGCTGGTTTATATACCAGTCATAATGTTTAAACAACAACATGATTTAGAGATTTAATTGTATATGCATACAATCTCTGTATTATTTGTAAATAATTATTGTTAATTAGATCATTAGTGTGAAAAACATGTTTTAAAATTATATTTGCGTGTAGAAGTACAGGGTATTTTTTAAATTTAATTTAATTTAATTTTATGAAAACGCTTACTTTCTATTTAATAATATAAAGTCCACATCATTTACAAAAAATAAATAAAATAAAAAATCTCGTATGGAGTGAGAGTCACTTACCCCTCCATACGAGTTTTTTATTTTATTTATTTATTTTGTAAATTATGTGGAGTTTATGTTATTAAACAGAAAGTAAACGTTTTCATAAAATAAAAAAAATTAAAAAAAAGGCCTGTACCACTACAACCCATGAAGGGTCTTGGGTTCAGAACTCAATGGGTTCAAGGCCAAAGGTTGTGCAAGGAGGAGATCGGGCCAGGATCAAGCTCAGCCGCCAGATTTTTCCCCATAAACAATTATTTAATTAACTTTGTAGAGGCTGGGTGTGCCCAGAAGGGTCTTCCTACCCCCCAATGACACCAATGAAACCGAATAAATATTTTTTCTGCCATGAGCGGGGGAAAAGATCCCTAAACGTTTCCATGGAAACTAAAATAAATGAAAAAATGTAAAATTTATTTTCATCCAAACAAACAAAAATTTTATATCGTACAGAATTATCATACTTATTATTAACTGATTATATCAAAGTTTCTTCAATTTTATCAACTTTTGAATAGAAACATCCAATATCAAATGGATAATCGTTTCGTAAAACTGAAAACCCCTCCTTCTTCTTCATCAATGAAGAAAGACAGATTTCTGTAAGATTAGCTAGATCTGATGAGATCTTTTTTTTTTACTTCCAGTTAGCTATACAAAGTGTCCTGTAAGTAGAGGGAAATTTTTAAGAGGGTGATAACAAACATCAGCAGCTACAAAAAAGTTTATGTAAACAATGGGAAAATTTTCGACAGAAAAGTAGCAAATCCAAGTTTTGTGTTTTTTTTAAGTGAGCCGTGTTTTTTTATTGAATCGAAAGCAATAACTAAAGAAATATTTAATATAAGTAATTAATAATTGCTTCATTGTAAACAAGATTAAATTTAATTTAAGGAAACATAGAGTTCATCATTGTTAAAACCATTTACAGAGGACTTTTGAGCCGCTAAACTAAGCTAAGTTCAGTTTTTAGAAAAATCATAAATTATTCACCGTTTTTTTTTAAAATCATCATCCAACAATACTACATTTTCCCCAATTTAACAAAAACTCCTCCGTTTAATAAGCTTGAAGCTCGTATTAATTAAGTTAAGTTTAAAAAGTTAAGGTTTGTTAAAAAAATTATATTTTTTATCCAGTCAAGTAAAAGTACCTCTGTTTTCAGTAAAAATCACTACAATAAATTGTCGCAAAGGTTTTATTTCTTGTTTTCCCATGATCTGTGATGTATTTTAATAAACCCAAATTGCCTAAATATACACTTTTTATTCATGAAAAAAAATTATTTTTTTTTATTTATTTATGATATTTACAACAGTATAACAATATCAAGTAAATGTGTATACAGGATACACTTTAATAATATGTCTACATTAGGAGATCACGAGGCATCTTCTTTTCAGACGCCTCGGAGAATTATCAGGAATCGAAGAGGAAGTAAGGTTAATTGCTTAAGTTTAATAGGTTAATAGGACCAAGATTGTTTGGACAGAGATGAGTACAGGAAGGCGCTCAAGGAAATAACGGTTCTTGCGGGCAAGAGGCGCTCCAGAAAGGGTATTGCGTGTTCTGAGGAGAGAAAACGTAGTAGAGAAGCATATGGGAGAAGAGGAGGCAGATGAAGAGGAAGAAATAAATTCGTGTGGTCTTTAAGGGCTGTTCGTGAAAAAAAAAAATCTCTAAACCTCAAACTACGACTATTATATTCACTGCTTTCAAGACATTCGAATGTCTTCACAGATATGTGGAACAGCTAAAAATACCCACATACAAAAACTAAAGACTTTTCAGTCAAAAACTTTTAGGACAATGGCCAAGGCTCCCTGGTACAACAGTAACATTACTCTACCTAAGACTTACAAATAACAACGGTTAACCTCCACATACAAACACATTATAAAATATTTCACAATGACTCACACGGACATACTAACTCACAGATCCAAGGCATGGCCTTGCCCGATAATTGTAGGAGGCTCAAAAGAAGCTGAATGAGAGATCTACTTTGTAACTAGAAATGTTAAAATAAGGACACCACTGGGCATTCCTTTTCCAATGATTTACCTAGTCCTGTCATATATATTAATACAAGGAAGTATATACAGATTTCAATAGAAAAATTAATTTTTTCAAAAACTTTACGAGAAAATAAAATGTATATATATAGAGAGTAAAAAAAAAAAGAAATAACTCAAAATGTCCTGCTTTTGCCTTGACACAGGCATTTAATCTCCGTGGCCAGCCATCAATAGCAGCACGCAGCACTTCTTGAGGAAAGCGCTCAACTGCTCGGACCAGAGATTGTTTAAGGCTTCCCAAGTTAGGGTGTGCTCTGTGGCGTGGCATCCTCTCCAGTTCGGACCAATATTTTTGTATATCAGCTAGATTTTGCTATCAAGTTATCTAACGATCTGAGTGGAAAGCAAATAGGTAGTAACGAGTTTTTAGTACCTAATTAAATAGACAAGAGTTTGCCGATAATCAGTTTGAAAACGCCCCCAAATTCTAAGAGTTTTCATAAATAAAATAGTAGAGTAGGTTACGAAGAAACGAAGCTATTTATGAAGTTTCAAGTTTATGTTAATAATAATTTGATGAAAAGATGTCTGAACCACGGACTATTACTCCAATTTCTGATTCTCGACAACACACTCGCTGGTTTTCGGTACTTCAGACAGGTGTGAGTGGAAAAATATTATTAAAAAAAAAGTTTGTAAATATAGAGATGAATAAGTTCCAGGTATAAACGAAAGACCCGAATAATAATCTTCAATTAAGGATGGGATATCGAAGGCCTAATTAAGATATTGTCATCAATAACTATCGATACCATTATAATATCGGCTTGAAATATCGATTTTGATCGATATCATAAACATTTTTGAAATACAAATATCAATATAAATATTTATTATCTAGCCGATAGGTGTGTGAAAAAAATATGTTATTTTCATATTTGAATGAAATGATAGAAATATCAACCTTCTACACTCCTTAGTAAAATTAATTTTCTATTTCATGTCCATCCTCAATTTTTTCCAGAAATTTCTATTCAACCAATTATATCATAGATCAAATTCAGCCAAATGCTAATTTATTTACATCCTACATAAAGTTCTTTGATCAGTCTTGATCTTCGTTCGAGAAAGTTCTACCTAGCAAATTTGAGCAAATTGGGTTTACTGGATGAAAAGTGTAATGTCGATATTTTCCTCTACTATGCACTACATTCTATATAAAACAGGCAAGATTAGTGTATCTTTTTTCCCAACGATCAAATTTATATATAATTCTTAGTGTTTTCCGAAATTTTTTAAATTTCAAAGTAAAATATGGAATGGAATATATATCGATAGTCGATAATATCGAAGTAAATTCTATGGTAAAATATCTAATATCGGATGAGCAATATCATTCCCTTTGATCAAACGCTTTCCTGAAAAAACTATGTATCGAACATCGCCCGCCGGACCATTTTCACCTTAAAACGCCTAAATTACTCCAGTCACCTATTTCCTCTTGAAACGCGTTGGCTCCTGGTCCTCCTCTACGGTATATGGGGGCGTCTCTGGGGATCTCGAGGCGAAATTAAAAAGTTAGATAAATTGCTTTGTACGATTTATCTTCGGGATACCAAGAGCCGCATCTGTTTCCCGTTTTTATGTAGAGTTGAAGTGGCATTATCCTTCCTACCGTCGTATTTCCTGGCATCCTTCCTCTTTCAAGTCATCCAATCCCACCTCCCTTCATACATGTCCGAGCTCCTCCAATTCAAATCCTCTGTTCGTTCTCTAAATACTCGTTCCAGGTCTTCTGATTTATACATAAGGGCCCACCGAACCGCAGCTTTCGACAGATCTTTCATTATCCGATCCTCATCCCTATGGAACTCCATCCCTTCCCCCATCCGTCAATCCAGTACCCTTCTTACCTTTAAATCCAGCCTGTTCAATCATCCAGTCCCCATAAAATTGTAAATAGATACCACTGTAAATATGTATATAAATTATTTTTTTATTATTAACTTATTTAAGTTAGAAAGTAACTTATTTTTATTATGACTATTTAATTACTCAGCATTTTTTTTATGTATCTCTGTGGCTCCTTAACCCATATTTATGTCTGTCTGTATTATTCTAAAGGGACTCGCCCAAGAATAAATAAAGTGTTATTAATATTATTATCGATGGCCATCCCTACCTTTAAAATAGCGTAAGATTCTATAATTTTGGGTGGAAATGAGACGAAAACAAAAAAAATCTAACAATTATCATGATCGTTGTTATAATTTAGATTAATAAATGTGTGCGTCATCCGAATTTTTTCTTAAAAAATATTTTTCGCATTTTCTAATGATGTAATTAACAATAATTATATACAAACAATGCTGCTGTATACCTATTCAATTATTACCACGTGTTGTTGTTAAATACTAATACTGATATATAAACGCGCCGCACTGCCGTTCAAAGCATAACCTCACCCGTCTACTGACTCTCAACCGCTGCCACGATGTTCGCTCCAGCAATCCTCGCCTTGATCGGCTTCGCAGCCATGTCCGAAGCCGCCCCGTTCCCACCTTGTTGGCATCCGTTACCACCAAGACCCTGCGACCACTATCAACACTTCCCTGTACCAGTACCAGCACCTGCTCAACCATTGCCTTCTTTCGCAGAGCTGCAGAGCTTATTGAACGCAATCAGAGCAACAGCAGGCTCGACGACTGCTGCTCCACAGGCAGTGACATCGACCACGCAAGCTCCAGTAAC